TTTTTTTCAATAAACCAGCTAAACCATTAATCGGAAGTCCTATCAATTTTATTTTTTTTTTGGTTCATTCTCTATCTCTACTCTCTACAGCTCTTCATAAAACTTAACCACGTGTAATCAAATTTGTAACAATAAACTTTTGATCATAACTTTTAAATTTATATTTTATCTTTTTTAACAAATTCATAGACTAAAAAAATATTAGATTGAACCAAAACTAGAAAATAGTACCTGAATTCTGATCAATTTATGTCATCGGGTGACTTAAGTATCACTTGGGCTAAAACAATATGTGCATTTAACGTTAAGCGCAATAGCAGAGCAATCAGAAAAATGTTGGACAGAGCTGCAAAAAGCAATTGAAAATGGACTCCCCCTTGTTGAGCCCTGAGCCTGGAGTTCACACAACAACGAAAAGAGAAAACCCTCAAACTAGGATTTGGTGGGGCGTGCCAGGCCCGTGCAGTAGTGCAAGGCATGGGCGACGCTCGAGGATCCCATAGCAAGCTATTGTAGCGGAATCTCCCCCCTAAAAAATTAATTTAATATCATGTGGGCCGATGGCCCACGTATCAGATATTAAACTGATAAGAACAGATACTACACTTGATCTTAGCCAAAAGGCCGAGAAAGGTATGCTTGATTCCGTGGCTTTCCTTGGCTTTTATAACTGGTAACGCTTTGCTCGCACAACGATTTCCCTATGTGGGACTAATACTAGCAAGGTTCTAGGCTTAGGCAGAACAGCAAAGAGCAAAGGACGTGGTGTCGCTGAACAGCAACCAAGGAAAGCTGATAAGCTCAACTAGTTTTTCCTACTGCGTCTTACTGAGTTTTGGCTTAGGTTTACTTTCACTTTCTCAATCTGTTTCTTTCTTTCTTTCGTTAGTTCTTTGGCCAGGAAATTTTCACCTCCTTGCTCTGAAGCATTCGGATTTTATGCGGCGATTTAGGGCATGTTTCTTTAGACGTGTGTGTGCATATGGGGTCATCGTCACGGCATTAAACTTTTCTGCACCACTGAATCTTGTATTGTTTTATGAGGGAATGCAGACGCCCTTCAACAAATCTGTCAGATGATGAAATTTCTTCTAGCACAAGCCCATCAAGCACTGAGGCTAGACTTTTGAAGCAGAAAAAGAAAACGAATGACTTGGAAATTGACATTGAAACTTTGATATTGGAATTTGGAAATGCAAGTTATTTGATCGCCAATACTTGATATATCCAAGTATGAGTGAACATTTCTTAACTAAATTGAGGGGATATGGGCTATTTCTACTGCTTGCATGTTTGAACAGATGCGTACGCCCTTCATATCAAACTACTGCAAATTAGCAGAAACATGCACACAGCATGTACGACTACGAGTGACAAATGGCGTGATAAACTTTCAGATGAAACTAACAGCAACATATGATATGTCCGAATTGCTTTCCTGCGATTATCACTTTCATTATGGTTGCGCCATTTACTTGATGGTCATGACTAATTAAGGTGAATTTGGGGATACTAAACATAGCTTCAAGGTAATGCAAAATGAGAAAGGAGAAAGGGGAGAAAATACAAAAAAGAGAGAAAGGATCAATAGAGAGAATAAAAAGAAGAGAAAATTCAGACGAGAGGTAAGAAAATAGTAATTCTTATTCAATCTAATGTGTGTATAAATCAAATAAATTGAGGCACTATTTATAAGTCTCAACTCAACCCTAAAAATAAATGTATGAAAATCCTAGAAATTTTAAAATTAAATAAAAAGATAATAATAGATGTTAAAAGATAATAATAATTTAAATTAAAATTAATATGAGAGTAAAATATCTTCGATTTTCAAATATGCAATATCCTTGTAATATTTTTAATTATTTTTTTTTTTTTTCCCATCATTTCTCCCCCACTTGAAGAATTCTCCTCCGAAGAGTAAAATTATGGATATACTTTGAAAATACAATAGTATCAAGAGGTTCCGAGTTGTGTCTTTATTTGAAAACCTTCTCTAACAAATTAAATACCAATAAATGGCATCAAGTGAACAGCAAACAATCTGAGTATGTAAAATCATAAAGTACAAGTTTGGAAATCCTTTCCAACAAAGGAGGTAATATTGGAGGGGACCAACAAGGTAAAATAGGAACAAGATCAAATTGCATACCATCATCAATAGTTTCAAAAGAAATAACCATCATAAGTAGAATTTGTATATGCAATTGCCCTGTCATATTACTGGTTTCTACCTGTTTCTCGGTATCACCTCTCTTTAAAATAGGTGCAGAATCTTCAATACGATTTGAAACCTCCTTCATGTCTACATCGTCACATATATTAATCCCAAAATTATCAACACCATTGCTTTCTGGCACTATTGATATAGATAAAACGTTTTTGTTGTAGTTCTAAGAAACTATTGATAAGATTAGAAGTTTCTTGGTTTTGATATGACCTCTCTCTTTCTTTCTCAACTTGATAGCAATGCCCTTCTTTTAATGTTGATCGAAAGGAATTTTGGATTTTATTAATTTTATCTCTCACAATTTCAAGACGTAAATATATGAAATACAAGTCTAATTGATAAATTAAATCATATTGGTAATGATATTAATGATGATTAATATAATTATAATGGTGATGATCAATATAATCATATTGATAATAATAATTATATCAATGACAATCAATATGATCATATTGATGATGGCAAATAGAATCATATCGACAATTAAATGAGGCCATAACATTATGATTGAATGTGATTTTTTTTTTGGTGATTGTAGACAATGGAAGGTGAATTTTTTTTTGGCTAAGAGGCTCTAATATTCTATTTGAAAAAAAGTTCTCAAGTTGCCCTCACCTAAAAGGTAAAGACCTTATTCAACAAGTTTAACTCTCAGAGAACTCAAAAGTTCCTCAGAGATCAAATATACTAAATAAGTAATAATCTAAGTGAAGTCTTCACAGTAACCTCCAAGGGCCTAAAAACCCTTCAAGGAAACCAATTGAAACTTCAGCTAGCCTGGGGTAGATAATTATTTATGAGGTGGATATTTTTTAAGGGTTCAATCAAAGGAAAAATTGAATGTGTAAATGAAGGAAAGGAAAAATGGAATAATAATCAAAGGAAGGAAGGAAGGAAATAAAATATGAAAAAAAAAACATCAACAAGAAGGAAATATAGTAAAATGTCTTAAAATGAAGGAAAGTATAAACAAACAAGAATAATAGAAAAAAAAAAGAATTAAGAAACGAGACAAATAGCAAGAGACTTAGAATTTATGATTAAAAACCTTACCAAGTAACTTAAAGAGCTTTAAGTTATAAACTTATCTCTCAAAACCTTTTCGTATGAGGATTTTTGGTACTAAAAATGGGTTTGGTAATAGAAACAGAATGAGAACCTTAACTCTAATGTCAATTGATGTAGAACAGGAAGGAGAAGGGAGAGAGAATATATAAAAGAGAGCAAGGGCTCAATAGAGAGAAGAGAAAACTCAGAGGAGAGGCAAAAAAACAAGAATTCTTATACAATCTAATATTCGTACAAATTAAATGAGTTGAGGTGCTATTTATAGGCCTCAACCAAACCCTAAAAATAAATGCATAAAAATTTTAAAATTAAATAAAAAGATAACAATAAATAAAAAGATAATAATATATGTTAAAAGATAACAATAATTTAAATTAAAACTAAATATGTATAATTAATGAGAGTAAAATATCTTCAATCTTTAAATATACAATATCCTTGTAATATTTTTAATTATTTCTTTTTTTATCTCTTCCCATCACAAGGTCTCTTTCCATCCCTCCAGATTCGATTTTCAACAAAAGCTAATAAGTAACTTGCCTAAGTTGAGTCAAAAAGAGCAGAGCAAGAATATGGCAGCTTGAAGATATGGATGCTGATCTTGAGTTTTCTGCTTTAATTTCTGACGCTTGAGGGATTCAAGTGCTGCCTTGCCTTACCTTTTTTTTTTTTTGGGGGGGGGGGTGTGTAAACTTCCAAACTTACCACTTGTTTGTCCCAATTGATACACCTATATCCTTTAATGTTTTCGTTGCTAAAAAATGATTTTCCTTCTGCAATTGTAAGTGATTATTATGTTACTGGCATCTATCATTTTAAAAGGAAGAGGAAAAAAAATAAGAAAAAAATTTAGAGACTGAACTTTATATATTTAAGTTTTAATTAAATCAATACATATGTATTTTCAATAAATTATTTAATTTGTAACAAATTTTTGTTACTAATATTATTATATTAAAATTCACATATTTTAATTTGATTAGATAAAAATATACTCCTTTTGATCCTATTTATAAGGTGAGAGGTAAAAAAATTTGGTCTTATTTATAAATCATATCTTTAAATTTTATCACAAATTTTTTTTTACCCTCCATTGAATGTTGAAAAAGAAAATATGTTACTAAAGTATGTATATTTAATAGGGGTAAAGTTGAGAACTTATTAAATTTTAAGATAGAGTTAAATGAGTTGTAAAATTTTTCTTGATACTAGTGAAACATATTAAAAATAACTTATAAATAAAATTAAAGGAATATTAAATATATAAGTCCTGTGTCTAAAAAAAATAGTATAACAAGTACTATCTTATTAAATAGAATTAGCTATGTAAGTTACATCACTACACATTGTAGTCTATCAATAATCCAATATATTTTATAAACCAGTTAAACCATTCATCGAAAGTCCTGTTAATTTTTAACAATGTTTTTCGTTCTCTATATCTACCGCTCTTCATAAAACTTAAAACCACGTGTAATCAAATGCATAACAATAAAATTTTGATCAAAATACTATTATATTTCTATTGTCTTTTTAACAATTCAGTTTATAAAAAAAATTAGATTGAACCAAAATTAGAAAACAGCGCCTGAATTCTTATCAATTTGTTATTGGGTGAATAGTATTATTGGGCCGAAACGATGTGCATTCAATATTAGGCCCATGAGAAGAGAGATCAGTAACATGTTGGACGGCGATGCAAAACTCAAATAAAAATGGGCTCCCCTCCTCGAGCTATATAGTTCGCACCTAAATTGGACCAACATCGGGCCGAGAGAAAACTCAAACTCAGATTTGGTGGGGTGCGCCAGGCCCGTGCAGTAGTGCAACGCATGGGCGACGCTCGAGGATCCCAATAGCAAGCTATTGTCGCGGACCCTCCCCCTTAAAAAATTAATTTAATATCATGTGGACCGATGGTCCACGTATCAGATATTAAACTGATAAGAACAGATACTACACTTGATCTTAGCCAAAAGGCCGAGAAAGGTATGCTTAACTCCGCTGCTTTCCTTGGCTTTTATGACTGCTCGACGCTTTGCTCGCATGACGATTTCCCGATGTGGGACTAATACTGGCTAGGTTCTAGGCTTAGACAGAACAGCAAAGAGCACGGATTGACAGAACGTGGTGTCGCTGCACAGCAACTAAGGAAAGCTGATAGGCTCAACAAGTTTTTCCTTCCGCGTCTTACTGAGTTTTGGCTTAGACTATGTTCCGAGTTTTCTCATCGGTTTATTTTCACTTAATCTGTTTCTTTCTTTCTTTTGTTCGTTCTTTGGGCAGGAAATTTGCAGCTCCTTGCTCTGAAGCATTCGGATTTTTTAGGGCCTGTTTCTTTAGACTTGTGTGTGCATATGAGGTCATCGTCATGGTATTAAACTTTTCTGCGCCACTGAATCTTGTATTGTTTTCTGGGGGATTGCAGACGTCCTTCAACAAATCTGTTAAATGACGAAATTTCTTCTAGCACAAGCCCATCAAGCACTGAGGGCAGACTGACGAAGCAGAAAAAGTAAACTAATGACTTGGAAATTGTTACTGAAACTTTGATATTGGAATTTGGAAATGCAAGTTATTTGATCGCCAATAGTTGATGTATCCGAGTATGAGTGAACATTTTAATTAAATTGAGGGGATATGGTCTATTTCTACTGCTTGAATGTTTGAACAGATGCGTACACCCTTCATATAAAGCTACTGCAAATCAGCAGAAATATGCATCCAGCCTGCACGACTACGAGTGACAAATGGCGTGATAAACTTTCAGATGAAACAGCAACGTATGATCTGTCTGAATTGCTTTCCTGCGATTATCACTTTAATTATGGTTGCGCCATTTGCTTGAAATGGTCATGACTAATTAAGGTGAGTTTAGGGATACTAAACATAACTCCAATGTCTCTTTCCATCCCTCCAGATTCGATTTTCAACAAAAGCTAAATGTAACTTGCCTAAGTTGAGTCAAAAAGAACAGAGCAACAGTATGGCAGCTTGAAGATATGGATGCTGATCTTGAGTTTTCTGCTTTAATTTCTGACGCTTGAGGGATTCAAGTGCTGCCTTACCTTACCATTTTTTTTGGGGGGGGGGGGGGGTGGGTTTGGGTTGGGGTAAACTTCCAAACTTACTATTTGTTTGTCCCAATTGATATACCTATATCCTTTAATGTTTTCGTTGCTAAAAAATGATTTTCCTTTAGCAATTGTAAGTGATTATGTTATTGGCATCTATCATTTTAAAAGAAAGAGAAAAAAAAAAAGAAAAAAATTTACATACTTAAGCTTATATATTTAAGATACTTATTTTTAATTAAATCAATGTGTATCTTCAATAAATTATTTATTATTTAATCTATAACAAATTCTTATTATTAATATCATTAGCATTAAAATTTACATATTTTAATTTGATTAGATAAAAATATATTAAATATATAAGTCTTGTCCCTCAAAAATGTAACATCTTACTAAATAGAATTAGCTACATAAGTCACATCACGACATTGTGATCTATCAATAATTCAATTTTTTTTTATAAACCAACCAAACCATTCATCGAAAGTCCTGTTAATTTTTAATAATGTTTTTCATTCTCTATCTCTACCGCTCTTCATAAAACTTAAAACCACGTGTAATCAAATTCATAACAATAAAATTTTGATCAAAATACTATTATATTTATATTTTGTCTTTTTAACAATTCAGAGTGCTAAAAAAAATTAGATTGAACCAAAATTAGAAAACAGCGCCTGAATTCTTATCAATTTGTTATTGGGTGAATAGTATTATTGGGCCGAAACGATGTGCATTCAATATTAGGCCCATAAGAAGGGAGATCAGTAACATGCTGGACGGCGCTGCAAAACTCAAAGAAAAATGGGCTCCCCTCCTCAAGCCATAAAGCTCGCACCGAAATTGGTCCAACCACAACGGGCAGAGAGAAAACTCAAACTCAGATTTGGTGGGGTGCGCCAGGCCCGTGCAGCAGTGCAACGCATGGGCGACGCTCGAGGATCCCAATAGCAAGCTATTGTCGCGGACCCTCCCCCTTAAAAAATTAATTTAATATCATGTGGACCGATGGTCCACGTATCAGATATTAAACTGATAAGAACAGATACTACACTTGATCTTAGCCAAAAGGCCGAGAAAGGTATGCTTAACTCCGCCGCTTTCCTTGGCTTTTATGACTGCTCGACGCTTTGCTCGCATGACGATTTCCCGATGTGGGACTAATACTGGCTAGGTTCTAGGCTTAGACAGAACAGCAAAGAGCAAAGAACGTGTTGCCGCTGAAAAGCAACTAAGGAAAGCTGATAAGCTCAACAAGTTCTTCCTACTGCGTCTAACTGAGTTTTGGCTTGGATTGTATTCTGGGTTCTCTCATAGGTTTACTTTCACTTTCTTAATCTGTTTCTTTCTTTCTTTCCTTCGTTCGTTCTTTGGCCAGGAAATTTTCACCTCCTTGCTGTGAAGCATTCGGATTTTATTATTTATATGGCGATTTAGGGCATGTTTCTTTAGACTTGTGTGTGCATGCGAGGTCATCGTCATGGTATTAACTTTTCTGCACCACTAAATCTTGTATTGTTTTGTGGGGGAATGCAGATGTCCTTCAACAAATCTGTCAGATGATGAAATTTCTTATAGCACGAGCCCTTTAAGCACTGAGGATAAACTGATGAAGCAGAAAAAGTAAACGAATGAATTGGAAATTGATACTGAAACTTTGATACTGGAATTTGGAAATGCATGTTATTTCATCGCCAATACATGATGTATCCATGTATGAGTGAACATTTCATAATTAAATTGAGGGGACATGGGCTATTTCTAGTTTTCTACTGCTTTCATATTTGAACAGATGTCTACACTGTACACCCAATTCATATCAAACTACTGCAAATTAGCAGATACATGCATACAGCATCTACGACCACGAGTGACAATGGCGCGATAAACTTTCAGATGAAACAAACGGCAACATATGATATGCCCGAATTGCTTTTCCTGCGATTATCATTCATGGTTGCGCCATTTGCTTGAAATGATCATGACTAGTTTAGGTGAATTGGGGACACTAAACATAACTCCAATGTCTCTAGCCATCCCTCCAGACTCAATTTTCAACAAAAGCTAAAAGTAACTTGCCTGAGTTGAGTCAAAAAGAGCAGAGAAAGAATATGGCAGCTTGAATATATGGTCAAATGGATGCAGATTTTGAATTTTCGGCTTTAATTTCTGACGCTTGGGGCATTTAAGTGCTGCAGCGTATTAGTTGCTCAAATGCTTGACATGATTATAGATCTTTGCTATTGCTACCTAAACCTTTGACCCCCACCAAGACACACGGTGACAAGTTTTACTACTGCACCAAGGCTATTGCTTTAGGGATAGCCTCAATGATAAATTTCAGGACCCAAGAGATAGCTGCCTGGGGGAATGTGATGCCCATTCAAGTCGTTTCTGTAATAAAATTCAGACCATGATTGATTGGCTTGTCTTGAAGAAAGCAACCGTGTTTACATATAACTCTCACGAAATCAATCTTGCTTGACAATCATTTGTATGTTTATTACGGGTTAGGTAGAAGAATGCGGATTAACTGAAGTTGCAGTGGCATCAAGGTGTTTGCAGATTCCTGTGTAATAACTGCTGAACCATTAATTCGGTGTACAACAGCAGATTCTCCATTCAGCTGCCTCACATCAGCCTAGACAGTTGCTAGAAATGCGAACAACTTGATCTGAATCCTGAGACATTACATGTCATTGGTTCTATCTCTAGCCTTAATGACAATTCCGTTTCATTTCATTCTAGGTTTCTTTTTGAAAGATTTACATACAAATCCGGCTTAACACAAATAATTACTCTCAGGTCCAATGTAATGTTATTCTCCTAAATTTAGCTGTCAACAAACTTAAAAATAATTAATTATATTGAGCGAGATCTTAAAGTAATTTTTTTTTTTACTCAACATGAAATAAATTACGTTTTGATCTCACTTGATTGGCATGAAATAAAAATATTTCTTTTTCATGACACAAATATAGATATTCAACATCTATTATGCATCTCATAATTACTGAATATTAATGTTAACTTCATTTTATTACATTTCATTACATTCTGTACACAAAACATACCCTTCTTGTAGCTAACTGTTACACAGAATAAGCTCTTCAAAGACGTGAGATACTGTGCATTGAAACTTACCATGTTTTAGGAAAGCATAAGCATAACGAAAAGGATTGGAATAAGATTGAGAAACGACGGAATAATTTTATCAAGTAACTTGGGACAGTAAAATTGGTTTTGAGATAAATGAGTCAATTACTCAAATCAACCTAGCGAACAAAGTTAGGCCTATTATAACGAATTTGGATATCCTGAAGTTCCTCTTTTTTTTTTTTTTTTTTGGAATGAAATAGAGAGATAATAACTACTAATAATACCTAACTTCACTAGGTAAGCCCAAGAATACACTGCCCAGGAAACCTGGAGACCACGGTCCGTTTATGGAACTTTCCAAGTGGAAAAAATCAATGTGATCTCTACCATCTGACCTCAAGATTCCTTCAACACAAGACGGCTGTGTAATACGCTTGGCAAATTTAGAGAACCTAACTAGAGGAATGGAGAAATATGCAGAATACTGTACCACCCTGTTCAACACAAAAGAACAGAAATTATCAAGAGTTTTGGATACTTCAACGAAATTAAGGAGTATGCCCAGAGACAAGGCACAGCTCTGAGGCAAGTTCATCATCAGCGAGGAAAAAAAAAAATTGATCAATTGATAATATCAAGTTTAATATTTTCATTTTTCTCATTGACTTTTAGTTCCCCCCCCCCCAAAAAAAAAAAAGCAAAAACAAAAACAAAACCCCGAAACTTGTCCAGAAAAATGAAAATACTCAACTTGACCAAATCCTGTCAACCCAGAAACCTTGCATTCCCAGAAAAATTAGATAGGATATAAAAGGGAGAAGATATGGCACCTACAAAAGCAAGAATCACAGAAGTCTGAGCCTCATATATCCATTATTTCTTTCCCAGATATGACACCAGTCATGCAGTCTTCCCTACAATATAAAATGGGAGGTCTTCCATACGATGTCAGATGTATTGTAAATGCAAGAAAAACCAGATCAGAGGGCAAGACATAGCTGAGGAATCTGCCAGCTAAACTGTGAAGAAAAGAAAGCAACTTTTCAAGTTCTACTGCCTTTAGAGAACAATTGGAGCCATACATTCCTGACGCTAACTTGGAGCAATCCAGCACCAGATGCAAACTTTCTATGAAGGTCCCATTAACCACCAAACACATTGCCATCGATTTGGGTTTTGGTAGCCCTTCAGCTCTTTTCAGAGACAGGGAAGCACTTCAGTATCCACATATTCAAGATGGAATGTTTCACGAAAGCTACCTCAGGCAACTACAGGAAAGAATTCATTTGGTCCACATAATGGAAAAGAAAATAATGGAGTGGCAAGTAAAAGAACAGCAATGTTGATGATAGAAAATGACTCTGTCCCTCCTCGACTTTATACCAAACGCATCCAAACATTATCTCACGAGGAAGAGTGAGTACGAGACTTTGTTGGAATTATAGTTTGGCTTCCAGTAACCATTATTGTCGCAGAAGCTGCGTTTTGAGTTACACTCTCAGGTCTTGAGCTCCTCATAGTTTCACCTTAGTCAGGAAGCATATGCAGCTGACCCGATTGATCATAACGCACTTAATCTGGAGGGTATCGAAGTCTAACTATCTAAGATTTTACAAATTTTTTGCTCCAACTTTGAAGTGTATGCTCGCTGTATCAGCCTTCTTTCTTTATTTCTCGAACTATTAGCTACATCAGTGGTGCATGATTCTAAGTTCTAATAAGAAGATGTGCTAAAAGGCAAAAGATTGACACCAGAAAAGAACAGTAGTAGGATATAAAAATGAGATAATTTTTTCTTTATTGCAAGAAACCACTTGCACAGTTTATGAACTTGCAATTAAAGCAGACGGCTTAAAACATTGACACAGTTGATGTAACAACAAATAATTTAGTACAGGCAACAGCTACACAGAATGACGGAAGCCACACTTTCATAGCACAGTAGCACCAGACATCTTACTTCGCATGGTTAATTCACAGCTGCAAAATCTGAGTTAGCCAGTTATCATAGTTCCGGCACCTTGATCGGTCATTATTTCGAGGAGTAAAGAGTGCGGTACCCGGCCGTCGATGATGCTGGCGGTTCTCACTCCCTGTGCAAGCGATCGCACACAGCAATTCACCTTGGGAATCATTCCACCGGCAACCTTGCCTTCCTCTATCATCTTCTTCACCCCCGATATATCAATCTCCTTCACCAAGCTCCTGGGGTCATCCCGGTCCCCCAGTATACCCGCAACATCGGTCAGCAATATCAATTTCTCAGCACCAAGTGCCGCAGCCAACTCTCCGGCCGCTGTGTCTGCATTGATATTATAAGCCTGACCCAGATTATCGGCAGCGACGGACGTCACCACCGGAATGTGATTGTTATCAATTAGTGGCCGGAGAACCGACGGATCAACCTGAGCAACCTCCCCGACAAATCCCAATTCAGCAGCTTTGGGACTCGGGCGAGCCGTCATTAGCCGGCCATCAATGCCCGAAAGCCCAACGGCGGTGGCCCCAGCCTTATTGATAAGCGACACCAGGGTCTTGTTCACCTTGCCGACCAAAACCATGGACACAATCTCCATAGTCTCAGCGTCCGTAACTCGGAGGCCATCACGGAAAACCGCCTGAATGTTGAGGCGGCTGAGCCAGTGGTTTATCTCCGGTCCACCGCCATGGACCAATACCGGGCGAAGACCAACACAGGAGAGAAGAACAAGGTCGTTGATGACGGATGCTTGGAGTTCGGGGGACTTCATAGCGGCTCCCCCATACTTGACGACGATAGTTTTGCCTCGAAACTTCTGGATGAAGGGGAGGGATTCGGAGAGAACATCAACGCGAAGCTGATCGGGGGTGAGTGAGCCTGAAAGAGTGGGAATTTCGACAGAGCTGGCGACGGCTTTGACGGAGAATTTGGGAAGGGAAGAGAATGAGAGATTGGGATTGGTTGGACGAGAAGTTCTGTTAGGGATTTTGGAGATCAAAGGGAATGAAGATGGAAAATTTGGAAGGGTTTTAGCTGCTAACATCATAGACAAGCGAAGTAAACAGAATGCGGCGGAGGTGCGAAAGCTTCGAACACAGACACTTCCGACTTCCGAAGCTCAGGCAAGCATGACTAAAGTTTTATATATATATATATATATATATTTTGACCAGCAAATTAAGTTCACTGTTTAGTCATTAAAAAATATATTTATTTCAATTAGATTGGTAAAAAAATTATTAGTGTATAATTTTTCCAACCATAAGTTTAAAGATTTTTTGTTGAATAAAAAGAGATTCATGAGCCAAGAATAGATTATAAAATAAATCTTAAATCAACTGAACAGCCTCTTATCATTCATCACTTTTTTTTGAAAAAATGTAATGGTTGATTAAAAAAAGTGTAAATCATCAAACTTGTCAACACGTTCATAGCTAAGTAATGAATACAAAATTAGCTTTCTTATACATAAAAAACAAATACTTTTACTTCTAAGAAGAAGATTAATTGCTTTTGCACAATTAGTAAAGATTCAAATCCATCTCAAACCATTATCCCAACATAGTTCAGGCCTTATGGGATTGCAGCTTTATGATGGCTGGAGTTACCAATATTGCTATTAAATCCCATAAGCCAATTTGCATTACTATCATGAATAATATCATTGCACTTACCAACACCATTCTTGTATGAACCGTCCATGTCTAGTCGAACTTCACTTGTGTCATAGCAAAACCACTTGCTTTGGTAGCTTCCTCTTCCTTTCTTATATGATGTTTTCAAGAGGTTGAGGTCTGCCTTTGCTTTGTAAAGTGTGGCAATTCCAAACCCTAAGTTCTCATCTTCCTCATCTGAGAAGGTTTTCCTGCATTTAGAGCATCAAATTTTCCAACAATCATAGCCAAAAAGCACATCTCAAGGTTCCTGTGTTGTGAACTCTCACCCAATATCCTCATTAAGGTTCCATTTAAGCCACTGCTTTTTGTTGGACGTCTTGAGTCTCGACCAATGGATAGGTTTCATTAAGCTTTGCCAATGTTCTTTTACATGTGGGCAGTCCCCGAGCATGTGAAATATGTCCTCCTTGATGATGCATCCAAGAGGGCATTGATTTGACTCAAGTAATCCCGGCTTGGCTTTAGGGTTAGTAGTATGTACATGGTCATTTGCAATCAGCCAAAAGAAAACTTTTATCCTTTATGAGCCTGACCATCTCCAAATTTTGCTATAAAGAGCCTTGTTGTTGGATGTTGTACTTGCAAATAAAAAAGGAAAAATGACAATTAAGGATCCCTTAAGGATATTAATCCCAATTAAAGATCATAAAATATGAAAATTTCAATTAAGGACAATTGGGATTTAAAAAAATGTAGATGGTCTTAAATGTCCTTGAGAAAAAAATAGTGAAATGCCCGTGCACGAGCCTCATTTCTCGCTCTGTTTCAGCTCCTCCTTCTTTCTTCTTTCATTCTTGTTCTTTATCATTCCTCAGCATGTCTATATTAGCTCCAGTGTTGTAAACGCATCATGTTAAATCTGGGATTTGCTGTCATTTATCTCTATTAGAGCTTTAAACTCTTTCCTCCTGCTTGGCTTCACCCTTCTCAAATGGTAGTGACATTGCCACTGTCAGAGAGAAGATTGATTAACAAAGCTAAAGAAATTGTTGATGAGGAGCACGCCATCAAGGGAAAGAGTACATTAATGTGAAGAAACTGCTTAGAATAAAAACTTGCAACCTAGAAATGGGGAATGTAAGATTGGCTATTCCAATAAATAAGGAAGAGAAATTCTTCCTAAAAAATAAAAATGATGTCTGTATGTATTGAAATTAGTGTAATATAATGCGGATATTTATTTCAAGTTTAAATACGTGCAAGTGTAAATGCTATCATCATGTAAGACTGCTGAAGTCACTAACATAACAAAGGAATATTGCTACTATAACTAGTAAAAACATAGAACCTCACTTGGTAATATTTTTTTTCGCAATATTTTAGACTTTGAAATGTAAATGCTATCATAACATAAAACTCACTTTTAAAATATTATAAGGCCGCTTATGAAAATACATCACTTAAGAAGTCACTAACTTCAATGAAGAATACGAACACTAATGTGACTTGTTAAATTTCACTAACCCGACTAAATTGGGATCCACTAACGTCACTTGAAAATTCACTAACTCAACTCAGGAAAATGGATGATGTATATTGTGAAAATACAAAACCCTACTTGAGAATAGATTGTTTAAGAAAAAATAACTTGTCCAAATTGGGATCTAGTAATGTTACTTGAGAATCCACTAACCTAACTTAAAAAAATGTTTAATGTCTATCGTGAAAACACGAAACCCCACTTGAGAATGGATTGTTTAACATGGACATGTATTTTGGTTTACTTAATCTTGAGTTTAACTATACTTTGTTCCTTACTAAATGGATCAGAATCTGAAAAACTCAAAAATTTTCATGTTCCTTACTAACTATACTCTGTCACTTTTTCTTAAACAATTTATTCGTAAGTAAGGTTTCGTATTTTCACAATATACATTAGGCATTTTCTCAAGTTGGATTAGTGAATTCTCAAATGACGTTACTAGATCTTAATTTGGATAAGTCACTTTTTCTTAAACAATATATTCTCAAGTAGGGTTTTATGTTTTCACAATATATATTAACCATTTTCCTGAGTTGAGTTAGTAAAATTCCTAAGTGATGTTAGTGGATCCCAATTCAGTCGAGTTAGTGAAATTTAACAAGTCACATTAGTGTTCATATTCTTCACTGAAATTAGTGACTTCTTAAGTGATATTTGTATTTTCATAAGCAGCCTTAGAACATTTTAATAGTGAGTTTTATGTTATGATAATATTTACACTTCAAAGTCTAAAATACTGTGAAAAATTTATTCTTAAGTGAGGTTTTATGTTTTCATTAGTTACAGTACCAATATTTCTATGCTACATTAATGACTTCAGCTGTCTTACGTGATAACAGCATTTACACTTGCATGCATTTAAACCTAAAATAGATATCTGCATTATATTACACTGATTTGAATACATGTAGACATCATTTTTATTTTTTAGGGAGAGTTTCTCTTCCTCATTTATTGGAATAGCCAATCCTACATTCCCTATTTTTGAGTTGCAAGTTTCTGTTCTAAGTAGTTTCTTCACAGCAGTGTACTCTTTCCCTCAATGGTGTGCTCATCATCAACAATTTCTTCAGCTTTGTTAATCAATCTTCTCTCTGATAGTGGCAATGTCACTACCATTTAAGAAAGGTGAAGCTGAGCGAGAGGAAAGAGCACGAAGCTCTAACAGAGATGAACGACAGCAAATCATAAATCTAGTATGATGTGTTCACAATACTGGAGTTAATATGGACACGCTAAGGAACGAAAAAGAACGAAAACAAAGGAGAAAGAAAGAGACACTGAAACAGAGCAAGAAATGAAGCTGCGCACACGGGTATTTTGCTTTTTTTTTCTCATGGGTATTTAAGACCATCTACAGTTTTTTAAATCTCAATGATCCTTAATTGGGATTTTCATATTTTATGATCCTCAATTGAGATTAATGTCCTTAGGAGGTCTTTATGTGTCATTTTTCCAATAAAAAATCATATGCAGAATGAATACTAGAGTTAGCATCATTAGAAGTTTTTCAAATAAAACAACCCTCTCCCCTCTAAACTATCGGGATAGGTTTGCAAGCGATCGTATAAATGAAAGGTACCTACATTGTCAAAGTAAGCTACAACCTACTTCTACAACCACTTGAGCTTGCAAATCCATTTTCAAATGCTAATATTTGGTTATTCCAGTGGAAACTACATTTTCCTTATAAACCCCTTCTCTTCATATGAAAGTTAGTTGACAAAGCCATTCCTACGGGAGATATTAGAAAAATTCATCATATGCTTGTCTCAATTTCCTTTTTTTTTTTAAATGTGACTATGATGAAACTCTCAATTATATTTTCTGTGATTGCCTTTCTCTAAAGTCATTTGGTTTGGCTTTTTATCTATCCACTTCATTATTATCTCAAAGATTGGTTTAATTAATTGGATCCTAACTACTTCAAATCTTTAGAGAAGGTAAACTCGATATTCTAGGAGATTTTTTTTTTTCCCCTTCAACGCCTAATGGAATCTAGCACTACATGGTACTCTCAATCAATCCCCATCACAAATTATCAAGGAATTTTCAGGGCATTCCTGTTTCTTAAAGAATGCTTGCATCCGGAATTTTACAATTGACAGCAAAACAAAGGTAGTAAGCAAGGGTATTAAACCTCAGCATGTTTCACCTCTTACTTACATTGAGCCAGTATCAAATCATCTTATTACAAGATGCATCACATATGGATCGTGGAAAATTCAAATAACAAATACGAAAAAACAATGACTTACAGTAAGCTATCATCATTCTCAACAGTGAAAAGTTATGTAAAATTATGATATGAATTTCCAATCAAATAGACCCTCAATACTTCAGTACCTTGCATGTCCGCGTTCGATCCTTTTTTGGATCCAAAATTTCACGGGCGTTTCTCAACAATCGGGTTATCAGTTTCGAGATTTTAAGGTCTTCCATCATCAAGGTGCTTTTAGTTTATTCCATTTGGAGTCACAGGCATTCCCAACAACTTCTCACTAGATATTTTCCAACCACTCAAGTGTTTTGATTTATTTCTTTGCACAAGCAAAAGACTCAGTAGCCTGCTGAACTTTTATTATTAATATTGTCATTTGGCCTTCTTCTTAAAAAAAGATTGTAAGTTTAAATAAATATTTTTCCTTTCCATGAATTTTTTTCTCTCTTTTTATGTTATCACTGAGTCTCTTTTTTAACCATGATGATAATATTATCACCGAGTCTCAATTCATGTATTTTAATATTTTTTAGGCTACAATGTATTTTAATATATTGAAACTCATTTGTATAAATATACTCATAAATTATGATAGAAAATAAAATATCTCAGATAAGTAGTTATATAATTTAAAATATGTAATATATTATGTCATTTTTAAAAAAATGGTAAATTACACTAGCTAATATATATAAAAATAAACATTAATAGATAAACATAAATATGAATACGTTATACATCAACTGAATATTTGATTATTTTAGTCACTTATATAAATTTAATATTTGAATTTAAGTTCTTTTTTTTATTTTTTTAATTATCGAGGTCTAAAATGCTGTGCGCTCTTTTATTTTCAATTTCCTCGTCCTTGTGTTGTCAGTATCGTCTCAAGCTATGTCATCTCTGATTATGCAGATGTTTCTCAACAGTAGCCATGGCTTCATGCACAAGTTCAAGCTACAGTCAAAAATCTTACGGAAACAGACTAATGATTCCACACTTAGTTATCGTGTCATTTTCACTCTCGTCATGCTGCAAACTGACAACAATGAACTTATTCCTCGATATCTTCATGCGAGCTCTACTATTCGTCATCTGCATGTTCAGATAATACATGGCTAGGGCCTTTAGGTCTTTGTTATCCAGTGACTTTGGTTTTTAACCCTGCAAGTTAGTTTATCGAGTCTGTATGTTATGTTTCTGCTTGTAGTTTCTGTTCAATCGAGTCTGTAAGTTGCTTTCCGTTTGTTGCTTCTTTATGTTTGTTCAGTTGGGGCCCTTAGGAGTTTTCCTGGGGGTCCTTTATGCTTGTGTTTGTGATCTCCGTGTTTTAAATGATATTTGATAGCAATATAAAATTCTTTAACATTAGTACACATGCATAGTTTTTAACTTTTTATTGACCAAAGTTACAGTTAGAGCTTAAGGATGAGCGGTGAAAATCGTATTATAATAAATGATATCCTTCAAGAAAATTCCAAAACATTCTGTATAAGCAAAAACATATCTTTGTTTCTTTCTTCCTTTGACTTAAAAGATCAATATATCACAAAGAAAGCAACTAAGTAATAATTACAAGATCTAGCAGATTAGGATTAGTAAATTGCCCAAGGAGACTATTCCATTTTCCCAACTTTACTAAAGGCAAGATTTCTCCCATATTAAACCTGAAGAAGTGCAGCAACTT